GAGGAAAATGATAATAATAATAATTTCAGCGTACGAACTCTTGGAACCCCCTTATCGCGACTTGACGCGGAAATGTGGCGTATTCTTAACCTCGCGACTCCCCGCGATGAAGCCGAAAGATGGAAATTGTATAAAGAAGTACTTTAGCGCTATCTTCATTTTGTTCGAGAAGCGAAAAAGCGCTTACGTGACGATACGCGCAATAACTCCGATGACGTTACTAATGTCGACGACGACGATCAGGATAAAGATATTGAGTCGCGCACAGATGACAACTTTATGGAAATACTAACTCATAATAATACTTCGATCAGCAGTAGCGGAGCTGTTAGCGAGAGTAGTTTCGGAAAAAAACGTGCACAATCCGCGGAAAAGATCAAAGAAATACTCAGCAGCGTACCGTGAACGTATCGTTCTAAAGCAAACGCGCTATTGAAATATTTGCTAAAAATTCCGCCATCGAAGATTAGCTGAGATAAACGCGGACTCGTGACTATAGATGGTGTCGTTGTAAAAGGGTCGAAAATTGGCGATCTTATAAACGACGCGATACGCGAGAGAAAAACGGTGAAAGCAGTCGAAAGAATTCAGTTTGCTCAATTGCTGTATGACATAGGTGCGCCATCCGGCCTTATAGGAAATCGTGATTTGATGACTATGCACTCGCATAGATCTCTGCGTATTAAAAAGTCATTACTGCGCGGAAGTTTCACTCCGAAAACTCCGCTCGCGCATTCAAGATCGTTCAGACGAAAGTTAGACGAGACCGAAGGAGACTCACAATCAGTGTATTTATCCGTCACTGACGACAGTGACAATAATAAAACATTAAGTGACGGGAATTCTTCACCTGAAAAAAAGAGAATTTATTTCATTGGCGCAAATTATAATAATGGAACTCGAAAAAATTATATTACGTTCCCTCGCATTACGCTGGTTATTTCGCAACGGAGAATTTATCTCGAGCTGCTAAACCGAATTTTACGCGTAACGATGTCGTCGAATGGCTTAAATCTCAGGATGCATATACGCTACATCGTCCGGTGCGTCGAAAATTTCCACGTTTACATTATAACGTGTCAAATATCGACAATTTATGGAAAGTAGATTTAATCGATATTCGTAATCTCAAGAGCTATAATGACGGATATTCTTACTTACTGGTTATTATTGATGTTCTTAGTAAGTTCGTTTGGGTAGAACCATTACGCGACAAAACAGCTACCTGCGTGACAAAAGCCTTCCAACGTATACTTTTGAGAAACAAAGAGCGTCGACCCGTCTACCTGCAGACGGATAAAGGTAAAGAATTTATAGCTCAGCCTGTACAAAACTTCTTAAAAGAAAAAGACATTCGTTTTCGCGTGGCGCGTAATCCCAATGTCAAAACAGTTATAGTTGAGCGTTTTAATAGAACACTCAAGGAACGGATGTGGCGTAATTTTACTCATAAAAATACGCGACGTTACATCGATGTTTTACAGGATATCGTTCACGCTTACAATCATACCCGACATACCTCTACTAAAATGCAACCCGCTGCCGTCACGCGGGAAAATGCCCGTATCGCGCGTGAAAATATGAATCGGCGATGGAAAGTCAATGACGACGACGACAACGACAACAACATCGAGAAGAAAAAAAGAAGCACAGCGATAAACAAAAGGCTAAATACAATCAGGGAGATCTCGTGCGTGTCAGTAGGGTAAAAGTAGTCTTTGTAGTCTTTGAGAAAGAATACGAGGCAAAGTGGAGCGAGGAAATATTTCGAATTCACCGCGTTCTCGAATGGAGAAAACCTCGCGTATACGAATTAAGCGATTTAACGGGTGAGAATATAGACGGAATATTTTACGAACAAGAATTAACTCCGGTCAATAAAGATTTGCAAGAGGAAGAATTTATCGTCGAGCGGGTAATAAAAAACAGGGGTCGCGGCAACAATAAACAATTGCTAGTCAGTTGGCAAGAATATCCCTCAAAATTTGACTCTTGGATACCCGCTTCGAGTTTAAGATCTTTGAATTAAAAAAATGAGGGAGGACGAATTTTATATGATTCTCCCGAGCAACAGTAGCATGCGTTACTTTCCGGAAAATACAACCACGTGTTTCACCACTGAATTACCCCAACGTATAGAATTGCATAGGCGTTGGGAAGTAGCGCTCACGGAGATTCAGTTTCCGTGTAGTTTTTTACATATACGCGATAATGAAGGAATAATCAGATTTATCGATATCAATGAAAACAATAAATCAGTTACGGCTATGAGATCTCAAGTACCCGTGAGTATTTACTCGAGTATGCAAAATATTGTCACTGGTGTTCGCAGCTAAATCTGTCGATTCGCATATCGTTTTTCATTACGGCAATTTCGTGGGTGGTAAAGTTTTCATGAAATTTAACTGTAAAGAAAATGGTTGTAATATAATACATTATATAAGTTTTTCCGACAAACTGCGTCGCATACTCGGTTTCGATATACACATTAAGCGTAACGATCTTGTTCAACTCGATAGCGAGCCCGCTGTACCTACCTTATTGCCTGCGTGGTTTTATCACAAAATCGGTATGTAGATACAATATAATGACGACGACAAAAAGCTCGTTAAAATCGAAAGTAGCGCCGTCATTTTACCGTTGTGGGTCTACGATAAAGAAATGCATTTTCTGCTATTTTACGAACTTGTTTCCACACAAATGTTAATAGCCGACGAACCGGGTAGTTTATTGCGCGGTATTCCCGACAAACTCTTTGTTTATTGTGACATTTGCAAACCTTATATCACTGGCGATGTACAGTCTTCTCTTCTTCGAGTAGTTGCGCTCGACTCGCAAAATGATTATGCGTTCGCATCAACTCGGATAAAATATTTCTCGCCCGCCTAATACATCACGCTGCGTCAAACGTGTTTCCGTATGATAGAAATAAATATAAGAGATCATCTGGGACAAAGTATACGATTCGAACTCGGGACGCTGACGGTGACATTGCACTTTAGACGTATCTAATAGATATCGTAAAAACATTCGGTGTCTATGACAGAGAAAACGAGAAAGAGAAAAGAAAAGAAAAAAAAATAGTTCGTTCGTTCTTTGTCGATGGATTATTATTCGGCACATTACGACGAATTACAGAAGGGAGGAGCTCGCGGTGGTGGAATTCCGAGAGTTTTCGTCGGATTGCCCTATCAACGCGGGCACGGTATCGGGAGTTTTCTCGGAGGATTATTCAGACGCGTGCTGCCTTATCTAGGCGTTGCTGCACGGGCTGTCAGTAAAGAAGCTTTACGCGCGGGTGCTAATATAATAGAGGATGTAGAAAATAATACTCCGTTTAAGGTAGCGACTAGACATCGTTTTAAAGAATCGCGTAACAAACTCAAAAGACAAGCTAAAGAAAAAATAACTAGTCTTATGAAAGGTTCAGGATATACGAGGGCGGTCCGATAAGTACTTAGCCTACAAAAGAAAAACGCAAATTTTGGAAAAGTGGCAATTTATTTCTCAACATAGTCTCCTTTTAGCTCGATACACTTGACCCAGCGATGCTCCAACTTCTTTAACCCATCTGAAAAATACGTTTTCTCGAGGTCTGCAAAGTAGGCCTCCGTGGCGACGATGACCTCCTCATTCGACTCAAATTTCTGCCTGGCAAGTGACTTTTTCAAGTTTGGAAACAAAAAAAGTCGCACGGAGTTAAATCTGGAGAATACGGTGGATGGGGCAGCAGTTCGTAATGCAATTCGACCAATTTGGCCGTGGCGACGGCGGAGGTGTGAGCCGGTGCGTTGTCATGGTGGAAGAGCACTTTTTTCTTCGCCAAATGGGGCCGTTTTTCTGCAATTCGGCCCAATAATTCGGCATAGTAAAGCTCTGTGACCGTTTTGCCCTTCTCCAAGTAGTCGATGTAGATCACACCTTGTGAATCCCAGAAAACGGTGGCCATCACCTTTCCGGCCGATAGGACAATCTTCGTCTTCTTCGGAGCACGTTCGCCGGGTGAAGTCCACTGTTTCGACTGTTCCTTGGTCTCTGGTGTGTACCAGTAGATCCATGTTTCGTCGACGGTCACAAAACGACGCAGAAACTCCTTCGGATTGCGCTTAAACAGCGTCAAATACTGCTCTGAAGTGGTCTCACGGTTGCGCTTGTTGTCCGGAGTGAGCAAACGCGGCACCCATCGCGCCGACAGCTTTCTCATGCCCAAAATTTCATGCAGGATATGACCCACGCGGTCTTTTGAGATGCCTACTGTTTCAACTATCTTGCGCACCTTCAATTCGGCGGTCTGCCAATACGAGATCGTGGATTTTTGTCACGTTATCCTCCGTGGTAGCCATTTTCGGGGCACCTGGGCGTGGCTCATCAAAAACCGACGTGCGACCACGTTGAAACTCGTTAAACCAATTTTTGACGGTCGCCATCGAAGGAGAAGAGTCACCGTACACAGCATCCAAGCGCTCTTTGATTTCGCTGCGCGATTTCCCTTCCAAAAACAAGAATCAAATTACCGACCGATATTGCTCTTTTTTCATTTTTCTAAAATCCGCGGACACGCCCACTTCCACACGCAGTCAAAACAAAACTACGAGTCCGATTTGGCTGAAATTTTGACAGTAGCCGTCTACGAGAATGTATTACACGATAGTAAATCTCTCTTGCGATACTGGCACCATCGGGCGGTGAGGCTAAGTATTTATCGGACCACCCTCGTAAAGCAGATGCGAAAATGCACGTAGCGCATCGTTAAACGTCGTCGCGCGAGTAAGAGAAGTTCATCGAAAATCAAGACGAGAAAGAAGAAGAATACAAAATCTACGAAGAATAAGAGGACGAGGAAAACCCGTGCGGGTGTAAAAAGACTCAAGACATCGGCGAAACGACGCAAAATTGGCAAGAAACGTACCGTATCCGACATATTTTCTTAAATAACGATATTTTTATTCGCTCACATTTAATCACGACGAGGACGACGAAACAATCGCCGGAGAATAAGTATGTCTTTTCTTCATACGCATTTGAGCGAGTGCTTAAAGAGTGAACTCGATCTCTTTTCTTTACCGCCTACGCAAACCAGTATCGAGAATTCGCAATGGATTCATTACAAACCCGTGACCTCTTTCTCGGATGATTCACCGATAGAATTCATCGTCCCAGGACACGGAGAAGAATATCTAGATCTCACGCATACCCTGCTGAGTCTTCGCGTGCGCGTGAAATCAGGCGACGATTCAACGGCTCGAGCTCCAGGAACGAGCGGCAGCGCTGGCACGGAGAGCGTCGTAGGCCCCGTAAATTATCTACTTCATTCCATCTTCAATCAGGTCGACGTGTATTTCAATCAATAGCTCGTGTCACCTCCAAACAACGCTTACGCGTACCGCGCGTACATCGAGGCATTGTTAAATTATTCTTTATCCGCAAAAACTTTCCATCTAACGTCATGTCTATGGGACGCGGATACACCAGGTCGTATGGACGATTCGCTAGAGTCGAAAAACAATACCGTTCTCGCGAGACGCGCCCATTACATTCGAGGCGGGCGAGCGATAGATCTTATAGGACATCTCCATTGCGACGTCTTCAATCAAGACAAATTCTTAATTAACGGTGTGGAAGTACGTCTGAGACTCGTCCGCTCGAAAGATTCGTTTTGCCTCATGGTAAGTAACGGTGCGTCGAAAATACATATTCTCGATGCTAGCTTACTAGTGAAAAAAGCAAAAATAAGCCCTGGGTATCGATTCTGTAATTCAAATGAGATTGCTCACTTCTCGCATTTTCATTCACGTGAAATTGTTCGCGCGATTCTATAACGTCGTAGTGAAAAAACAAAATCACTAGATTAATCACGATGGTGAATTGGTGAAAAGTATTTTGTGAAGGACTGTACGTGAAATAACGTGAAATAATAATTGACAATTAACCTATAAATACATTAATATCATATATGTAATTACATATATGATTGATTAATATTGTGAGTTTTAAGTTTAATAAAAAATAATGAACGTAACAGAAAAGCAAAAACAAATCCTGATAAATTTTATGCGTTCTCATCCGAACTTCGGAAGAGGAAGATTAAGATATAATCGTGAAAATAAAAACTGGTAAGTGGTTTTCATAAACGCTAAATAATAAAAATAATAAATTCAAGATAATTATAAAAGAATATATTTTGGGACGGGTTATGGGAAGAAATAACAAAAATTAAATTCATCAGGCTGTGGACCACAAAAGTTACCGAAAGAATGGGCTAAAGTAAAAAATTAGAATTTTTATTTAGTGTTGTAAATAATGCAGTTTTACACAATATTATCTAATTTTACATAATTTCATATTGTTGTCATTTTTTGTATTACAGACATGGCGTGACCGGAAATCTAATTTATTAAAAAGGGTAGCTACATACAAGTTATGCAGGAAGTACTGGTGGAGGACCACCAAAAATTTTGGATGCAAGCCCTTCCGAAGAAGATTTATTAGAATTTTTAACCCCTGATGCTAGTGGAATGTCTGGCATTTCTGAAGGAGGAGCTATTGATGATTCGTCCTCACAAGATTATTCAATTTTAACGAAGTTGCGATCCCGAAAAATGTTGCTTTCCATGGTCAATTAAATTCTTCTTCAACTCAACCCTTAGCTACTGAAAAGACTTCAGTAACACAATATACAAACAACTTCCAGCTGGCAAAGGATCAAGAAGTCTTTACAAGGTTCGCAAACCAGCTCCCAGAGAGTGCAAGATTTCTCAAGAGAGATTAATTTTGAGGTAGGCATTGCTTTATAAAAAGATGTCTCAGTTGCGCACAATGTAAATCAGACACTGCCAATCAAATTGCTTACTTAAGCAATACTAGGATAGATTTAGCTAATCTAATTTAAAATTATTAATATTGTTAATATATGGTTAAACTCTTAACTTATACACGCTGGCTCAAAGGCGTTTGTTTATCAACATTATTATATATATCAGAGAAAAGTATAGAATCGAAAGGATCTGAATAGCTCAGTTGGAAGAGCAGTCGCCCGGCAAGCGAAAGGTCTCGGGTTCGATTCCCGATTCAGCGACTTTTGGATCTATATTTTTCTCTTGCATTTATTTATTTCCGTAGGGGGTTAAAGGATTATTGAAACTAAATCTCAAATATGAGATTATTTCATATTTTAAAATCTTGGCAGTGACCAAGTAAAATTTGGTGCCTTGTGCATAGATATTTAATCCTAACGAAAAAATTTAGTTTCGTTGGGATAACGCACTGTCTTCCGCGATCGGCTCTTATCGCCTGTCTTATACTTTAAATTTATATTGTTAATATATATAAATTTCAAAAACATTCCCTTTACAGCGACCTAATAATTACTCCTTCTTCAAGATTGTCAGTTAGCTCACTGATAGATAGTAGATATTCTAAATCATCTTTGTACACACTAAACAATGACATAGAGGATTTTCAAGATACAGAAGATACAGAAAATATACAAAAAGTACAAGATAGAGATAATGTACAAGAAGGTACAGAAAATGTACAAGGTACAGAAAATGTACATTGCAACAAGTCTACACAAAATAAAAGATTTTCTGATATTGAAGGTAACAAAAATCCTTATAATTAATTATGATTTATATTCCTGTGTGATATTAAAATATATTTCATTGTATTATTTAAATCTTTTGATATCTACATATTAAATAAATATACAGAAAGGAACTCGATACTAATAATATTATATTTTCAGATACAAATAAAAAGAGAAGAAAAACCAACGTTAAAAGTTTATTCGAACAGCATACTTCTGATTATAACTATACTCAAGAGCAAATGCTGCAAATAAAAAAGAATAAATTGGCTTTAGCCAAAGAACAATTCGAATTTAAAAAAAAGTAAACAATAAACGAATCGAGGTCTTGACAGCATTAGTAGAGAAGGTGGATAATTTAACAAATATTGTGCAATGTCGATTGCTCCGCAATATTTAGAATAACAATTAAGTAAGATAAAATATATCTCTTGAAAACATGTCTTTTGAAAAATTATATATTTTCTCACAGGATTGTTTACATGTCAGTATTTACAAGTATCAATAAAATATTATTAACCTTTAGACCGCCGGAAAATCTAAATATAGACTCTTTGGAATAACTCACCTAAACACTCAAAAATGTATACAGAAGGTTCAATACATACCTCCCCCTCCCTCCCCTCCCCCTCACCCTTCTCACACACACGAGTTGCGCCCCTAACAGAGAAGTCAGAAGCTCACCGACCGTCAGACACTCTCACCAAAGAAAATCGCAAATAAATTCAATGATATTTTTGAGGCTGAATTTCGAAGTTTGATCATAATATATCTTTTCTTCAATATTCTTACAATTTTCAAAATCTAATTTCACAATAATAATAGACGCTGAATCTGTAGACTGGAGTAGTGGCGAATCAGAACCAAATAAATCTGATGATAAACGAGATATGACTGGTGCATCTGAAGCTATAAATACTGATTTACCCAATGATATAGATGAAGAATATCCTGATATATTTTACGACAGTTTATTTTACCCTTCTGTAAAAGATTTTACGAGTCTATCCGGTATTTGCGATAGTATTCTTGTTCAAGGTGATACTCCACACATTAGACTATTTTGAAATTTTCTTCAATTCGACTCTTCTAGAAATGATAACAATGCAAACTAACCTTTATCAGGAACAAAATCCTGAACCCTTGCGTTCAAAAATGAAACCCTGGAAACCAGTAACAGTAGATGAATTACAAATTTTCTTCGGACTTACAATCAATATGGGACATGTTCGAAAAGGCATTCTTGAAAACTACTGGAGTAAAGATCCTCTGCTGGCCACTCCACTTTTCGGGAATATCATGTCTCGGAATAGATATGTGCAAATTTTACGTTACTTGCATTTTACGAACAACGAAGAAATAGTGAATCATCCTTTGAAAAAAATAAAACCTATAATTGACGATCTAAAAAATAAGTTCTCTAATAGTATAAAACCAGGAAAAAATCTTTGCATTGATGAAAGTTTGGTTTTATGGAAAGGAAAGCTAAGGTTCAAACAATATTTACCATTGAAACGAAACCGTTTCGGTATCAAATTGTTTGAACTAGTTGATTGCGAGGCTGGATTTTTACTAGATTTCATTGTATATACAGGCTCAAATACCGATTACGAAAAGTTTGGGTTGGGTATTTCTGGTGACATTGTAGCTCATTTTCTAAAGCCATATTTTAGCAAAGATCACGTTATCTATATAGATAATTGGTATTCATCTCCACAGCTGGCTAAATTTCTACACGACCGTGATACAGGAATTTGTGGAACTGTAAGAAAGAACAGAAAAGGAATGCCAAATCTAAACAATAAACTGAAGAAAGGTGAAATACAGATTGGTCACAATGACGTCTGGTTAGTCATGAAATGAATGGATAAAAAAGAAGTATATATGATTACATCAGTTCATGAAGTTGGATTTTGTTCTACTGGTAAAAAGGATTGGAAAACTGGAGATAATATCATAAAACCAGTGTGTATTCATGAATATAATCAAAACATGGGAGGTATCAACAATATTGATAGGCGACTATCTCTGACAGAGGCCATCAGAAAATCGATGAAATGGTACCAAAAATTGTTTTTCCACTTAGTTGATTTGGCTTTGACAAATGCCTATGTACTGTACAAAATAAGTTAAATACGAAAGAGAACATTTCCTACCCTGAATTCCGTTTACAGGTGGTCAGAAATTTGCTCAAACTTGACTCTAATGAACATTCGTATTCAGTTTACTCCAGTAATCTACGACTAACTGGACGTCATTTTTTTCATCAAATTCAAAATGAACACTCGACAAAGATATTACAGCGTCAATGTGTGCTCTGTGCAATGAATAAAATAAAACGACGTTCTACCTATGAATGCAATAGTTGTCATCAAGCTTTATGTGTTACACCTTGTTTCGAGATTTACACTCTACACTTTTATTACACCTTACACTTTTCACTGCACTTTTACACTTTTTACATCTTTATACATTTGTAATAACTTCAATTCATTAATATACATAATGTTTTTAAGAAAAATCAATATTTCCATAACAACACATTCATTCATTTATTTGTTACATATTAATTCTTTTTGTTCTTTCGCTTTATACTTTCAATGAATAAACATTATTTTCTTAAAAGATCTGGTGAATTTATTCATAAGTCGCTACATTTTTGGTGATCCCGACGTGATATTAAAGCCGACGTGATATTAAAGCCGACGTGATATTAAAGCCGACGTGATATTAAAGCCGACGCATTTTAAAAGCTGATACGGAATAAGTGCCAAATGATCGTCGTATTTGAAGTCTGCGAAATATTATCATCGCTTGGAAGAACTGCTAGATATTCTGATTTTAAGAGATTCATTCTCCGGATCTTTGAAACATCAGAGGCGGATTAGTCCTTCACGGAAATTCTCAAATCATATAATCGGATTTCTGGAACAAGAAGAAAATGCCAATCGATAGATCACCAGTTAGGCCCTGTACGGATACACAGATTAATATGGATTTGGCGAGCGGATCAAATCAGGTTGGATCGAATAATATTAATATTTTACCTTCTCAAACTGGACATCAGGTGAGTGATCCTATGTTACAAATTCACTCAAATGAGTTTCGTTTATTAAAACTACCGACTTTCTGGCATAAGCAACCTAAACTCTGGTTTGCTTCTATTGAAAGTGAGTTTACGGTTTATCGAATTCGATCAGATGATATTAAATATAGTTCTGTCATTCGTCATCTTGATGAACAAGCCTTAGTAAATATATCTGAAGTCATTGAAAATCCACCTGAAACAGATAAATATAATTATTTAAAGAAAATATTAATAAATCGCTTTACGGATTCAGAGAAAAAACGTTTGAGACAAATATTAGCTGGAATTGAACTTAACGATAAAAAGCCTTCGGAATTACTTCGAGAAATTCGTCATTTGTTTGGAGGATCTTTAGCGGATAGTGTTTTGCAAATGATTTGGCTTCAACGCTTATCACATAGAATTCAAACGACTTTAGCCGTAGTAGAAGATGTTCCTCTTGTTAAACTTGCGGAATTAGCCGATAAAATTGCTGATCGGGACGGCGGTTTACAAGTCGCGGAAGTTTCCAATAATGCAAATAATAAATCTTCGGATTTCGCGGATTTGCTACGAAGAATCGAAGCTCTTGAAGTTTCTCGTCGTCGAGATCGTTCCAAAAGCCGGTCTAGAGAGAATAGAAGATTTAGATCGTTATCGCGTAACAAAGACAAATCAAATAAAGATATTAAAGATACATCAATTTGCTTTTACCATAAGAAGTTTGGTGATAAGGCTAAACGATGTACTTTACCTTGTTCTATGTCCAAAACATTCTTGGCTTCACAGGAAAACTAAAAACGCCGTTTAAGACTGAGGCTGCTTACGACGGTGTTTCTAACAATCGCCTCATTATTTTCGACAGACATTCAAATTTGAATTTTCTTGTCGATACGGGCGCTGATATATTGTTGTTACCTAAAAAGGTTTTATTGAAGCCGTGGCATACTAATTTAAAACTTTTTGCCGCAAATGGTACTCAAATTAATACTTACGGTTCTAAAACTTTAATTTTGAATCTCGGTCTTAGGAGAGAATTCAAATGGAAATTTTGTGTCGCGGATATTCAACGTCCTATTTTAGGCGCCGATTTCCTTTGTCATTTTAATCTCCTGATTGACATTAAAAACAAGAAATTGATTGATAATGTTACCGGTCTTATGAATACTGAAAAAATTCAAGAAATTGCGCATTTGTCAATTTTTACCACATCTCCTGATTCTGTGTACCACAAATTTTTAACCGAATTTCCAGGACTCACCCGTTTTTCTCCAATTTCCTCGGTAAAAACGCATGGTGTTGAACATCATATCTTTACGGAAGGTTCTCCTAAATTTTCAACTCCCAGAAGACTTACTCCTGAGAAACTTAAATGTGCCAAAAAAGAATTCAAGTCTATGATGGAGCAAGAAATTTGCAGGCCTTCAAGCAGCTCCTGGGCAGCCCCTCTACATATGGCACCTAAAAAGGAACAAAATTCTTGGAGACTGTGTGGTGATTATCGTGCACTCAATTCAGTGACTATCCCGGATCGTTATCCCTTACCTCATATTCAAGATTTTTCTTTTTCACTTTTTGGTAAGAATATCTTTTCTAAAATCGACTTAGTTAAAGCGTACTATCAAGTACCCGTCGCTAAAGAAGATATTCACAAAACAGCTGTCACTACTCCATTTGGGCTTTTTGAATTTGTCGTAATGCCTTTCGGTTTACAAAACGCAGCCCAAACTTTTCAACGGCTCATGAACTCTTTACTTAATGATTTGAGTTTTGCCTTTTGTTATCTTGATGACATTCTTATCGCTTCTAAAGACGAGAAAGAACATATTGCTCACTTACGCATTATTTTTGATCGTTTTCAACAAGCTGGAATGACAATCAATGTTGCTAAATGTCTTTTCGGTCAAAGCGAGATTTCTTTTCTTGGTTACTTAGTTTCTAACCAAGGAGTTAAACCTACATCCGAAAAAGTGAAATCAATTATTGATTATCCTAAACCTAAGGCACTTCATGAATTACGCAGATTCTTAGGAATTATCAATTATTATCGTCGCTGTCTCAAGGATGCTGCAAATCATCAAGCTCTGTTAACAGAATATTTAAAGGACAGTCGCAAGAGGGATAGAAGAATTATTTCTTGGACTAAAGAAGCGGAATTAGCTTTCGAGTCATGTAAAGAAGAACTTTTACAAGTTACTACTCTTTCTCATCCTGCTCCTCATGCTCCTCTTATTTTAACTTGTGATGCTTCTGACTTTGCTGTTGGTGCATCACTTGAACAGTCTATTGACGACGATATCAAACCAATAGCATTTTTCTCAAAGAAACTAGACAAAGCTCAAAGAAATTATAGCACTTATGATAGAGAACTTCTTAGCATTTATTTGGCTATTAAACATTTCAGACATTTTGTTGAAGGAAGACAATTGATTATTAGAACTGATCATAAACCTTTGATTTTTGCTTTCCGTCAGAAATTGGATAAAGCGTCACCAAGACAGATCAGACAATTGGACTTTATTGCTCAATTCTCTACAAATATTACCTATATTTCTGGAAAAATGAATTCAGTTGCTGATGCTCTGTCAAGAATTGAATCTATTTCAATGCCTATTATAGTTTCTTTAGAAGAACTTGCTAATTATCAGAAAGAAGATGAAGAACTTCAAGTTTTACTTTCTTCAAATTCTTCACTTCTGTTGAAGAAACTTACTCTTTCAGGATCAACCATACCTATTTATTGTGATTGCTCTTCGGAATTAATTCGTCCATATGTTTCTAAACTCTTACGCAAGAGAATTTTTGATGTTGTTCATGGACTCGCTCACCCAAGCGGCAGATTTACATCTAAACAATTACTACTGAAATTCATTTGGCCTTCTTTAAAGAAAGATGTGAAGGAATGGACTCGAACTTGTCTTCCATGTCAACGTGCGAAGATTTCAAGACACACCAAGAATTCTCCAATTAAGATTGCAATTCCTGATCAACGCTTTCAGCATGTGCATTTAGACATTGTTAGACCACTTCCTATTTGTCAAAATTACCGTTATTGTCTTACTATGATTGATCGTTTTTCCAGATGGCCTGAAGCTGTTCCTATTTCTGAGATTTCTGCTGAAACTATTTCTACAACATTTTATTCACATTGGGTAGCACGTTTTGGTTCTCCTATCAGCATTACAACAGATCAAGGTCCTCAGTTTGAAGCAGCTTTATTCAAAGCTTTAACAAACCTAATTGGCTGCCAAAGGATTAGAACTTCTGCTTATCATCCTGCTTCAAATGGAATTCTGGAAAGATGGCATAGAACTTTGAAAGCAGCGATTATGTGCCACGAAACAACCAACTGGGTAGAATCGTTACCTTCAGTTCTTTTGGGATTACGTTCGTGTTTCAAAGAAGATTTAAAAGCTTCACCAGCAGAACTTCTTTATGGATCCACTCTTCGTATTCCTGGAGAATTTTTCATTGAAGATTTTCCTGCAGATCCTGAAATCTTTCTTGAAAAACACAGGATTCATATGAGGAATATCAGATCATCTCCTACAAGTCATCATTGCAAAAGATCACCTTTTGTTCACAAGAATCTTTTTGATTGTACTCATGTTTGGATTCGAGAAGATACTGTTAGGAAGTCACTACAACCTCCTTATTCTGGCCCTTTTCCTATTGAGAAACGTATCTCTGATCATTTATTTGCAGTTAATGTTTCAGGAAAAGTTGTCAATATTTCGACAGAACGTCTCAAGCCAGCCTTCATTCCTAGAACTTCAGATTCTACTGAACTTTCTACCAGATCTTCAGCTCCTGTTCCTGCTACTTCAGCTCCTGTTTTTGCTACTTCAAATCCTTCTTTTTCTTCTACTGTTGGAAGAGCTTTACGTACCTACCCACCAAAAAAGAAGAAAGTCCATTTCGCAACGAATATCGTCACTAGGGGGGGAGTACTGTAGCATTCATCATCCACACCTTTCATTTACACTCTACACTTTTATTACACCTTACACTTTTCACTGCACTTTTACACTTTTTACATCTTTATACATCTATATATATAAGCACCGTCTGTCTGTATGTATGTACGCGAACTACTTCCGCATTTGTGGACCGATTTTCGTGAAACTGGTACCAAAATGTCGCAAATTTTTCGGGGGTGGCTGCTGTGGGGTTTTTTTTTTAAATTTTTAATTTTTTTTTTTTTACAGAGGAGGGTATGTTTAATCTTTTTTTGCAATATTTCTGAACACATGGTATCAAAATGTTGCAAATTTTTTGGAGATAGCGACGATGCGGTTTTTTTAAGTGTTACACCCCCACCCACGCACCCACCCACGCATCCACCCA